ACATCCGGCGTTCAGTACTATTTCATATTGTTTTACAACACGTGGTTTAAGCCCTCTGGTGAGAAAGACTTCAAAACAAAACTTACAACAGTCACTTTTCTCAACAACTGAAATTTAGAATAGTGTGATTAAGAAAAATATGTGAACTGTTTGCAATTTTAAATTAATATTGAAATGNGATCAAACACTTCGTTTGTTTATTTGTGGCTTGAAGTTAGGCTAGCAGAAAATGCCGTTCATGGGTTAAATTTAGTTGGAATAACACAACCTGTGACGTAGGCTATAGTATACCCAATTGACGCACTAAACTAATTTTTGTTCAAATGGAGCTATAAGTTGGAAATTATTACTGATGTTATTTTTAAAATATGTGAAAAAACTGAATGGCTTATAGTAGAAGTTAAAACAATGACTCACGCTTAACCGATCAGTAAATTCCATTTCGTTTTTCGCTCATCCCTATTTAATTAATATTTGAATAAAATGTATTAACATCACTCGTCATCCACTACAAGTTAAAAAAAAATGTATTTGAACTTGAGTGATGAATAAGAAGTATTTTATTAACGATTGAACGAGATATAGGTTAAGTGTGAACTAATAGTAGGAATTTTAAAAAAAAAACTAAAAATAATAAATAATATTACAAAATTAAAACTAAAATTCACATGCTTAACAAGCTAGGAGGGGACAAAATGCCTCAATTGTTAAAAGTTCAACAAATAATTCACTCTCAGCTTTTACCAGAAATAAATGTTATTGAATAGCAAACGTACATATAATATATATGTTTGCTTGCAATAATCCAGGTTTTCCCATCGGCAGAAGTCACGTAGCGGGTTTGGCGGCGGCAAAAGAACTTTTGCTTTTCCTCATTAACAATTTATTAGTTGCTTCTCCCGGACTATTTTCCGGGAAAAGAACATTAATGATGCAGATAATGTGTGCATATCTGTGTTTCGCATTCTGGAATTGCATCAAATATTCAAGATCCGGGAAAACTGAGCTTTTTTTTTCCTTGAATAGTAGTTCTTACAGTCTAGAACGTTTATAGTACAAGAGCTATTAAACGTCTCTAGAAATTCGAAAGGGCAACTTCAAAAGCCTAAAAAGTAACTTTATTTATAGAGTAAATGAATTGATAGCGTAATAAATGTTTTTTCTTATAACTTCGTATTGATATTTTCTCTATCAAACATAATAACTCTCGATATGCTCTTTACGCAAAATGAAGTTAACATTTCTAACCCATTGTTGATCTGCCTGTACCCAATTCAAAATTTCGGGTGGTTTTCCCTTGATGGACCAACGTAATCTTGATGGTAACCATCAATAATTCCATCATGAACCATTATATTTTCTGATGGTAACCAACATAAGTAACCATCACCTCAATGTAGGAATTCGGACTGATTTATGATGGTACAACATCAGAATAGCAACTTGTTTCGATGGTTTGTTCATGTTAAACCATCTGAAATTTCCCTCATAGTGTCTTAGAAATCAAATGTTTGAACGATCATGAACAACCATCATCCAAATTTAGGAATTCGGACTGATTTATGACGGCTCAACATAAAAAAAAAATCCAAATTGTTTTGATGGTATATTCCTGAGAACCAACAAGAATTCCAGTTAAACCATCATGGAAATATATAATTGGAACCATCACGGATTGTTGGTGGATGAGAATCAAACTTCTTTTGATGGTTAACCATCGTAGTATTAAAGTAGCATTTTCCATCACGTAATGATGGAAGTTTGTTGGTATATCAAAAACCATGTACATGTAATGGAACATGTTGGATGATGGGAACCATCAAATTATGTTGGACCATCATAAATCACAGTAAAACCAACATAAACCATCAAAATGTTTTGATGGGACCATCAAGAATTTGACTTGGGTAGCAAACAATGTAGTTCAGCTCTTAGAATTCGTAACTAAAGCGGGAAACTGCTCTGTCCGGTATGCTATACCAGAAAAACAACTTACAGGATGAGCAGCATACTCAGATTTAAGAGGTAGGTAATATATTTACGTCGCTCTAGAGCTGCACAATGGGCTATTGGCGACAGTCTGGGAAAAGTTCCTGAGGATGATCCGAAGACATGCCACCGCAATTTCTGATCCTCTGCAGAGGGAATGGCTCCCTTGCTTTGGTAGCCCGACGACCTCCGGGCAAGTCGAACAGTTTAGTATAAAACAGTTTAATGAGGACTCCTACCGCGCACCCTCAGTCCTTACGCAGGTTGGTCAAGGAACTGTGAACCAGGGGCCGTGTCTTTACGATCTGAGTCACCTTGTATCTTTAAATCTGAGTTACTGCGGGACTCAGATTTAACAGAGCATCATAAGTACTAAGATCCAGCGCAGGCGCATAAGAAGCGAAATGATAGTCAGGAAGTATGTCACCTGTGAACCGGTTGTTGGAAAACTCTACATGCACAATTGTGAATGCTGCTTCCCGCCAATCACCATTTTATTCTTTCGTTCTAAGTGGGCTAAGTACTACCTTAATCCGCCTCAATAAATACCTCACTCTTTTTAGGTGTAATAAGGTAATTTATTATACCTCATAAATACCTCTTTCGTTACAGAACAACCTGGTATACCATAGAAATCACCTTATCAGTCTGGTTGATATGAAGTTAATTTAAAAACAACCTCAAAATGAGCTTAGGTATAAGTAAAATGACTTCATACACCTCAATAAATACCTCACTCGCTTTCGTTGAAATAAGGTAAATTTTTTAATACCTCATAAATAACTTTTTGTTGTAAGTGTCAGAAAAACAACCTGTATATCTTGAAAATCAACTCATCAGCCTAGTTGATTTGAAATGAATTTTAAACAACCTCAAAAGGAGCTGAAGCATATGTAAAGCAACCTCGTGCACCTCCATTAATACCTTTATGAGGTATAATTGTTATGGTTGTTTTCTCAGCAACTTCAAGAATACCTCAAAACAACCTGAAATATACCTTAAATTTTCGTAAGATGTGGAAGGGAAGATTTTTAAACTAGCACTTTTACCAAAATTTTTGATTTCGAAACTTAAAATATCGTCTACACTTACTAAGTAGCATGTTTATATTGAGGCTTTTGAACTATTCAGATAGTGTTTTAATGTGTGAAAAATTTGATCATTAGATCAAAAGTTATTCAGGGCGTTCTATTATAAACTATATCCTCAAAACAACCTCAAATATACCTTAAATTTTCGTAAGCTGTGGGAGGGAAGATTTTTAAATTAACACTTTTACCAAAATTTCTGATTTCGTAAATTAAAGTATCGTCTACACTTACTAATTAGCATGTTTATAGTGAGGCTTTCGAACCATTAAGATAGTGTTTTAATATGTGATTTTAACATGCGATCATTAGTTCAGAAGTTATTCAGGGAGTTCTATTACAAACTATATCATTCGCAGGCAAGTGTCAGCTAGACGGTGTTACTTAAATTAATTGTTGAATGAAGTTATTCTTCCGTGTTTCTTATTTGAAAGGAAATGCATAGTTCCAAAAATGTAACTGCAACTGCGAGATTTTTCGAAAAGTCGATGAGTCGGTGGGAGGGAAGAGTTTTAAATTAGCACTTTTACCACATAAGGGTACTGACAAACGAGAATCTTTCTTGTTTATGTAAATAAGGCAGTGGGTGGAGACTTAATTAGCAGACTTAATGAGTCCTCTCAGCCTGTTGATACTCAACTCAATTACCCGGACTTGCGAAAAAGAAATCTACGAAAAGATTATTCTTAATTCTGCCCTCTAGAATGCTAGGCGCTTCATTTAATTTCTATCACACAAACACGTTCGAATGTTTTAGAGTTTTAAAAGATTTGTAACAAGTCTTTGAAAGAATGTACTTTGGCATTAAAAAGGCTAACGACAGTAAAAATGTTAAGAACGCTTAAGAAATTTTCCAACATCATTATACCAAATTCCTTCGAAGCATCCATGGTCGTCGTAATAGTGGAACTTTTATTCAAGGTCCCACATTCCAGGGAGTCCTAAAATTAGATTTTTTTTATTTTAATAATTAAAAAAAATTATTTTTTTAAACAAAAAATTCGATTGAAAATTTTAAAAAACTTGTTTTCTATCTTATCTATGTGACGACTACTAACTAATGTGACTGTCATCCATTATAGATGGAAGTAGTCTTCACATTTTTAGGGCCCTCAGCAAAAGAAACTATATGATGATCAAAATTATGAAATGAAAAATAAATAAAAGTTATTTAAGTATTTGATTTCGATTAAGCGGAACCCTTCGAGCTGCGATGGCTCAGGGGATGGAGCCTTCGCCTTCCAAAAAGGTGAACCGTGTTCGAATCCCGGAGATGGCTGGTCGATATGAATTCCGCATCCGACTTGCCCCCTTGCCGTCAGGCTAATCGTGGGAGGTGATCGTAGTCTTCCTCTCCTTGTAAATCAAATGCGGGTTAGTTCCATCAAAAAAAGTTCTCCGCAAAGGCAAATTTCTCCCAATACTTGATCCATGAGTTTCCATATCTTCTGAATTGGGTTCAAAATTGCCAGACTACGGGAATTGAACACTAGTGGTCGTTAACCCACAAATTTGGTCGACTGTTCAACGACGGTTATAAAATAAAAAAATATAGCAGGTGAAGGTTACTTGCATTCAATTGATGTGTAATTCACATAATATTTTTGGGACTTATTAGAAAAATCTGGCAAATTAATGGTCACACCTTTCGTAATAAAAAAACTCTTTTGTTTAATATCAAGATATCATGTGACACCTGGTACCATTTCTTTGAAAGTCGATATTTTTTAAATTGTTTTATTTTTTTTCCTTTCGAAATCTTTGAAATATCCTTGGCAAAATTTACAAACTTAATACGATGGAAACGGCTTCCTAAAATGAAAATTGTGGTGGATAGCTAACTCACAGAATTGAAATGTTTCTAAATAAATCCTAGTATTTATGTGGGTCTGTATCGCTTGATATATAAGGAAACGAGACTTATTTTATTCTTTTTTTTAAAAAACAAAGCTTTATTTTTAAGAAGATTGTTTTACATCCGCCTGATCTCAGTCAGAAGTTCGTTGAAACTCGTGACAAACCATTCAGATTTCTCTTTCACTCTGTCCCTTACCTGGTTGCCACCAAAACCAATGAAACCTTCCTGCAAATAAAAAAGAGACAAATAAAATCAATAAGATTCATCTTGGAATTTTTTTTAAGAAAAAGAATATTTTTATCAAAGAGAAAACTTTATAGATTCGCTAGATTTTACCAAACGGAAGTGGAATACTATGATTGATAGCTTCCGGCTGTATTCCAATGCTCATGAATTTATCTACATTATATATTACATTGGTCGTTCTTATTGCACAGTATTTTATTTAATACAAATAAAACACTCAAAAGAAAAACTTGTAATTTCTTAATTGATGCCATAACGTTTTTAATATATGTCATCCAACAATAGCCAAGAAACTAGCCGTATTTTTAGGGCTCAATCTTTTAAAGGTAAAAGTATGTATGCTACGTCGTTTTGAACCTGGTTAGGCGACGTGGACAACGCCTGAATAATAAAAATGGTTTCTTGCAGACGATTTTCTTCACCTTATCTCACGTTTGATTTTTTAAAGGCATGTCAGCATAAGACGCGCCATTTTTAGTGGTCCAATCAAATCCAATGCTCTTGAAACGTCACATAGTTGTTTCCTTTTGAAGAAAGATTGTTCTCCTTATTTATCTAAATATGTCGTCAAGTCTAGGATTCCCGTGAAACTTCGAAACTATAACCTTTTTTTTATAATTCTGTGGTATATGTCGAGAAAGGTTGGAATATGTAGAATTAAATTTCTGTTTGACGGATTTAACTTTTAAAAGCTTTTAAATTGTTTTGAAGGCATATTTGTATCTGTAATTTGATAATAAAATCGAAGTATTAAAATCGGCAGTTATGGCGAAAAAATCCGATCATCCGAGCAAAAGTTATCTAGGGTGATATAATTTTTATATTTTTGGCTCTCTCTACAGCCACATATATTCTTTACATATTCAACGATATGAACCAGGAAGAAAAATTGAACTCGTCTGAGACTGATTCGTATTAAGAATAGTATATTATACGAACGGCAGGAGGACAGGCAGTGAGATCAGTTGCGCCATCTCCAATCATGATGACGCAACGGTAACCAAATCTGTGTTTCAAGTAGGCGATGACCTCCGCTTTGCCTTCTTGGTGGGAAGTCGGTTCATTCTCATCAAATCCAGCGAATTCACCTGAAAAACGCAACATGCCATTTACAAAATAATAATAATAAAGTGATGATTTTTTACACTCATAAGTAAAGAGATCGTGTTTCAATGTTTGGAACGATGCAAAATCCGATATGTATTTTTATCACTGTATTCAGCCTGTTGGAAAATAGTACTAATTCACAAAAATATAGTGATATGCAAGACTAAAGTGCCAAAAAATTATGCTTCATCCAATTTATGAATCATTAATTTATGTCGTTGTTTTTGGCCTGTTGCGAAGTTGTGATAATTCACAAAAATATATATATTCATGAATCCGATTTGTGTTCCCATAAAACTCATAAGCCTATTGTGAAATAGTGATATAGCATAAGACGCTGAGAAAGTGTGTTTCAAGTTTCATTCAATTCATAAATCCGACGTGTATTATTATATATATTTTTTCTTTGGTTGTGGATTGCATTCAGCAAAAACATATCTACGAATATAATCTAAATTTAATTTTTTTTTAAATTTTAATCTTAGCTAATGTAATGTATAATTGTGAGTTTTGCCTGCTTCATTACGTTGTAAAAATTAAACTTCAAATTCTAAATTTTTTTTAAAAAATGAATCATTGGCTCCATTTCTAGTTGATCCGGAATAGGCACCATAAGCTCGTGTAAACGAAGTAATCCACTCACTGGCTATAAAGCAGCAATGACTACTATATTGTCTAGTTTGAGTCATGATGGCTCAGGGGATGGAACGTTCGCCATCCAATGAGGTGAATCAGGTTCGAATCCCGGCGATGCCTGGTTGATACGAATTCCGCATCCGGCTTGCACTGACAACAGTGCTGCCGTGAAATATCCTCAGTGGTAGACGGATCATGAGTTAGAGTCCCCTTTGCCGTCAGTCTAACCGTGGGAGGTTATCCTCTCCATGTAACGCAAAGGCGAGTTAGTTCCATCAAAAAGTTCTCCACGAAGGTAAATTTCTCACAATACTTGATCCAGGAGTTTCCTTGTCTTCTTGATTGGGTTCAGAATTACAAGACTACGAAATTGAACATTAGCTGTCGTAAAACCAAAAATTGGATCGGCTGTTCAGCGACGGTTATAGAAATATATATATATATATA